AAAGAAAAGAAAAGAAAAGAAAAGAAAAGAAAAGAAAAGAAAAGAAAAGAAAAGAAAAGAAAAGAAAAGAAAAGAAAAGAAAAGAGAAGAGAAGAAAAGAAAAGAGAAGAAAAGAGAAGAGAAGAAAAGAGAAGAAAAGAAAAGAGAAGAAAAGAAAAGAAAAGAAAAGAAAAGGACCTATTTGTAAAAAGAAAAAATATGTATTATGGCAGTTCTTTTTGTGGTAGCAAAGAACTAGAAAATGAAGAGATGTTTATCAATTGGGGAATGGCTTAACAAGTTGTGGTATATGATTATTATGGACTACTATTGTGCAATCAGAAATGACGAGAGGATGGTTTCAGAAAAATATGGCAAGACCTATATGAACTGAGCCAAAGTGCAGCGAGAAGAGCTGAGAGATCACTGTGCACAAAAACAGCAATGTTGTAATGATGATCAACTGTGAAAGGCCTGGCTATCTGAACAATACAATGATTGAAGATAATTCCAAAGGACTCATGATGAAAAAATGCCATAAACCTCCAGAGCAAGAACTGATGAACCCTAAGTGAAAAATGAAATATAATTTTCTCTCTTTATTTTCCTTGGGTTTTTTTGGAGATACAGCTAATATGAAAATGTTTTGCATAGTTTCATATGTATAACTGATATGCTGCTTGCCTTCTCAGTGGGTGGGGAAGAGGGTGGGAGGGAAGGAAAGAATTTGGGACTAAAAAATTAAAAATAAAAAAAAATGTTTAAAATAATTTTTTTTTTAAAAGAGGCAGCTGATAGCATGGTGAATAGAGTGCTGGGGTCTGCAGTCAGGAAGACCTGAGTTCAAAATTCAGCCTCAGATACTCACTAGCTCTGTGACCAAAGGGAAGTCACTTAACCTCTCTTTGCTTCAGTTTCCTCAACTATAAAAATGGAAATAATATCACCTACTTTGCAAAAAAAGGGGGAAAAAAAAACCTTTGCTATGATTCTTTGATGGCTATTAGGTGTCTTAAAACTGTTTCACTGTAATCTGAATGTCTCCAAAACTATTCTACCATTCTGTTTCTTCTCAATCGTAGTTTATGGACATCTTTATTCTACACTTTTGCTTCTTACCCCTATCACTGGGCTTGTTTCTCATCATTGTCACTACTTCTAACTCTTGGCCATTACTTCTCATTTCTACTACAGGCTTCCTTCTTATCTCAGTTTCTTTCTTCTTCCTAATCTTACTATCTCACTTTTTCCTGAAGTATCTCTGACTTGGTACCAACAGAGTTTGGCTCTGACAGATAATAAGAGTGCTCCTTTCTTCTGGTCCAACAGATGAATCATATTATAGCTGCCGAATCTGAATTTTATCACTCAGATCTAAGTACAGATCACACCAATTAGAATAAGTTGTTGACTATAAAGTAATTGCCATTGTCAGCACTACAAAAATGATTTATTAATTAAAAGAAAAGAGAGGGGCAGCTATGTGGCACAGGAGATAGAGCACTGGCCCTGGAGTCAGGAGGACCTGAGTTCAAATCTGGCCTCAGACACTTGACACTTACTAGCTATGTGACCCTGGGCAAGTCACTTAACTCCATTGCCTAGCAAAAAAAAAAAAAAGAAAGAAAGAAAGAAAAGAGACTAATTAAACTTTACTAATTAAGAACTATGAGAGGCATTGTGGTGTAACAGAGAGCTGGCATCAGCATCAGGAAGACCTGGGTTCAAGCTATCTCTCTGACACATACCAGCTGTATGACCATGGACAAGTCAATTAACTTGGAAATGCTCCCAGGAAATTCTCTAAGTTTCAGGGAAGGTGCCAGTTGACACTGGTAGAGGAAGTCCAAAAAATTTGAGAGTTGAAAGGAATTATCATGAGCCATCTAGACCAACCCAATGCAAGAATTCCCTATACTGATTAAATCACAGGCTGGACTTTATTTTTTTCAAATCTACATAATGATAACCTCTAAAACTTTTTCCTATTAGAGCACTCATGTTTAAACATTAACTCCTGACCATATGCCAATAGCACAGTCTGTTAGTATATCAAAAGTCCATCTTAACCATTCTTTTCCCATTCACTCATCATTACTCAGTAGCAAACCTCATCACTTAGTGTTATCATTCACCTACCTGTCTAAAAGAATACTCTTTCTTATGAAGACCATGAATCCCCAACCTCTGTAAGTCACTTATCCAATTCTGACCTTTTCATCTGAAAGCAGTCTTATTGAAGTTAATCTGTCCAAAATGCTGATAAAAGCTTACTTACTATTTTTTTCTTCTGTGATTTTAAGTCATCCAATGCTTCATCTAAAAAACACAAGATTTTAATTAACATTAGTGGCTTTTAAAAGCTTAGATATATTAAATATAAGGGAAAAGAACCTAAATGCTATATACTGACTACTTATTAAAACATTTTCATATTTAAATATAACACAAAAAATCCATCAAGACTCTAAATCACCCACATTCCACTAGTTTAATTCTTTTGTAAGAGCTTTTAACTTTTTCACATTCTTTAAAACAAAATAAACTTCATTTAACAAAAGAAAAAATTCTTTCCTAATTTGCCTCCTCAAAATTTCATGGGTGAAGCAAAAAACACAAAAGCACATCACCTACTCATGCTTTTAAAAATACATATACTTTATATTATTTCCTTCCCTATCCTTTAAAGGAAAAATTTTAAACATTTCATATCTATTAAAAAAATACAAAATGTCTTTTTGCTTGTTTTACAACTAATGATCTGTACACTAGTAGGGAAAACTTTTTAAAGGATAGTGATATAAATATTACGGAGGTAACTGACAGGGGATATTAAAAACTAGTCATAAGTTCCCAGAGTTTACTTGCTCATATTGTACTTAAATTTATATACTGTCTCATAATGAATATTTTAAATGGTAATTCCAAATGCAGACAAACTCTTCAAATATATATGAATTCTCTAATTTTCCATAACAAAAATGACTAGAGTCATAACTACCAAAGATACTTGTATTATTGTTGGAAATTACCTGTTGGAAAATAGGTAGGGCATAAGCAGAAAATGTTGTCTTTGTAACAAACATCATTAAATAAATGTTTTTGCACTTAAGTAAAGCTGTAAGTATATAAATACAGAATCAGGACTAGTCGTAGGTTAAAATAGCAAGATGCTTAAAACAACAATAGTAATTTTTAATATGCTTTTTGATAAATGTACATTTTTAACACAAATTCAACAAACATTTATCAAATGTCTACAACGTGGAAGTCACTGTGCTAATGTCACAAAACTTCACTTTCCATGACACCTATTTATTTTAAAACAGTATCACGTAGTATAAAGAATACTGGACTTGGCGTCAGGAGACCTGGGTTTATACTGTAGCTCAGATACACACTAACTGTGCATCACAACCTTGCTAAGCCTCAAGTTTCCCTGTGAGCAAAGTACAAAGAATAATACTTATGCTATCTATCTCAAATAGCTGCTGTGAGAAGAAGCACTTTGTAAAAAGCTTAAAGTATTGCATAAATATGACTATCAATATTGTAATAAGTAAAGTTGCATGTGAATGTTTACTATGTCCAACAGACAAGAACATAATTTTCAAACTTTGCTTTGTCCATGTAAATGCCTCGTCTCACCTCTGAGTACATGACTTTCTCATTGAACACATAAAGCAACAAAATACAGTTTATCCTATTTAAAGAAATTATTATACAAAATTACTGAAATGTGGGTTGATATTTTTTTTTTAACTAGAAAAAGCAATGTACAAAGGATAAGTACCCAAAAGGCCAAATTCTCATTAGAGTACTAACAGACGAAAAGGGTACAAGTCCTCAAGAAATAAGAAACTGAAAAGGCAAGAAGGATTACAAGTATACAGTACTTTGCTTCATGAAATAGATATTAACTTGAAAAGTTAAAATTATATTTTTAAATCCTATTTTAAAATTACTAAGTGAATTAATAGAAGTCCTTTTGGAAACAAAGAAATCATTACTGGCCTGAATCACCCTGATTTATCTAACTTTAAAAGTTCAATTATTCATGTATTAGATTTTCCTAAAAAGGACATACCTGTGCTTACTTAACAAATTATAGACTGAATTGAAAATATTTGTATTTTTTTATTAATTTATTTACTTTTTCAATATTTTTCAAAGTTTTCAATATTCACTTCCATAAGATTTTGAATTCCAAATTTTCTCCCCATCTTGTCCCTCCTCCCACCCCAAGAGAGTGTGCATTCTGAATACCCTTTCTCTTAATCTGCCCTCCCTTCTATTCCCCAACCCACCCCCTTCTCTTATCCCCTTCCTCTTCTATTTTCCTGAAGGGCAGGATAGATTTCTATACTCCATTGCCTGTATATCTTAGTTCCCAGTTGCATGTGAAAACAATTTTTTAACATTTATTTTTAAAACTTTGGGTCAAATTTTCTCCCTTCCTCCCTCCCACCCACCCTCATTGAGAAGGTAAGCAACTTGATACAGGTTATATTTGTGCAGTCATGCAAAACACTTCCATAGTAGTCATGCTGTGGAAAACTAACTATATTTCCCTTCATCCTATCCTCTCCCCCCACCACCCGGTTTATTCTATTCTCTCTTTTGACCCTGTCTCTCCTCAGAATTGTTTGCTTCTGATTACTCCCTCCCCCAATCTGCCTTGCCCTCTCTCATCCCCCTGCTCTTTTATCCCCTTCCCCCCTATTTTCCTGTAGGGTAAGAAAGCTTTCCATAACCAATTGAGTGTGTATGTTATTCTCTCCTTAAGCTAAATCCAATGAAAATAAGATTCCCTCATTCCCTCTCACCTTCCCCCACTTCCCCTCCACTGTAAAAGCCTTTTCATATCTGTTTTATGTAATATAATTTACCCCATTTTACCTCTCCTTTTCTCCTTCTCCCAGTATAATCCTCTCTCACCCCTTAATTTTATTCTCCAGTTATCACCCATTCATCTTCAACTCACCCTGTGTCCTCTATCTATCAATCTATCTATACATATAATTTTTTTCCCTCTAACTACCCTAGTACTGACTAAGGTCTAATGAGTTATAAATATCATCTTTCCATGTAGGAATGTAAACAGTTCAATCTCAATAAGTCCCTTATGATTTCTCTTTCCTGTTTACTTCTTCATGTTTCTCTTGAGTATTGTATTTGAAAGTCAAATTTTCTATTCAGCTCTGGTCTTTTCATCAAGAATGCTTGAAAGTCCTCTGTTTCACTGAATGTCCATTTTCTCCCCTGAAAGATTATACTCAATTCTGCTGGGTAGGTGATTCTTGGTTGTAATCCTATCTCCTTTGCCCTTTGGAATATCATATTCCAAGCCTTGGGGTCCCTTAATGTAGCTGCTAAATCCTGTGTTATCCTGATTGTGTTTCCCCAATACTTGAACTGTTTCTTTCTGGCTGCTTGCAATATCTTCTCCTTGACCTGGAAACTCTGGAATTTGGCTATAATATTCCTAGGAGTTCTCCTTTGGGGATTTCTTTCAGGAGGTGATTGGTGGATTCTTTCAATTTCTATTTTACCCTCTGGTTCTAGAAAATCAGGGCAGTTTTCCTTGATAATTTCTTGAAAGATGATATCTAGGCTCTTTTTTTTAAATCATGGCTTTCAGATAGTCCAATAATTTTTAGATTCTCTCTCCTGGATCTATTTTCCAGGTCAGTTGTTTTTCCCGTGAGATATTTCACATTGTCTTCTATTTTTTCATTCTTTTGATTTTGTGTTACAATGTCTTGATTTCTCATAAAGTAACCAGCCTCCAATTATTCCATTCTAATTTTTAAGGAAGTATTTTCTTCAGTGAGCTTTTGGACTTCCTTTTCCATTTGGCCAAATCTGCTTCTTAAGGCATTCTTCTCCTCATTGGCTTTTTGGACCTCTTTTGCCATTTGGGTTAGGCTATTTTTTTAAGGTGTTATTTTCTTCAGTATTTTTCTGGGTCTCCTTTAGCAACCTATTGACTAGTTTTTCATGATTTTCTTGCATCACTCTCATTTCTCTTCCCAGTTTTTCCTCTACTTCTCTTGCTTCTACTTGCTTCTCTAAATCCTTTGTGAGCTCTTCCATGGCCTGGGACTGATTCATATTTTTCTTGGAGGCTTTGGATGTAGGAGCTTTGACTTTGTTGTCTTCTGGTTGTATATTTTGATCTTTGTCACCAAAGAAAGATTCTAAGGTCTGACTTTTTTTGTGCAGTTTGCTCATGATCCCAGCCAATTACTTGAATTTTTAACTCTTTGTAAAGGTAGGAGTCTACTTCCAGTATGGAGAATGTACTGTCCCAAACTTTGGGGGTTTTGTGCAGCTATTTTCAGAGATACTTCTAGGGACCTGTAAATTTTCAGTTCTTCCAAGGTGGTATGATCAAGGGCGAGGTGTTTACTCCTTTCCTAAACTGTACTCTGGTCTATGAGTGACCACAAGCACTCTTTTCTGCCTTGGAACTGTGAGGAAGATTCCCTCTCCACCACCACTATAAGCTCCACCACACCAGCACTCCCCCTTGCCCCAGGACCACCACCCAGAACTGTGACCCAGATCCAAGCACAGGCAAAGCAAGAGATTCCTTCATAGCATATAGCAGAAAGTTGTGAAATACACAAAACTTCCAGTTTACAAAACACTTTCACATACATTATGAATGCATTTGATCCTTACAACAGCCCTGTGAAGTAGTTAATAAAAGCATGGCTATCTCTATCAATCAAATGAAGAAAGTAAAATTTAGTTAGAAAGGCTTGCCCAAAGTCATAGTGCCTCTATCAATTTGATAAAAAAAAAAATAAAACATATCTATTTGCACCAAAATTATTGTTTTTTGGTTAAATAATAATATACTCAAAGGTTACTTTGTATGGTAATGAAGTATCCTTTGCTTCATATGATAGATGTGCTCAGAGTTAATCATATAATGAAATCTCATTGACTTTTTACAAAATTAGGCATGTGCCATCACATACTTTAATATATGAAATCTGTGATCCACATAGATACATAGGGGAAAAAGTCTTCCAAATCTTGGAAGGAAGTTATGATTACAAGAGTAACCTACCCAGATCTATGCCATCCATCCTTTTGGGTCCTTTCAGAACTTTACAACATTTTCCTACACCAGCAATATGGCCTCTTCACTGAAAGAAACTTCTCCCATTCCTGGAATCTCATGAAAAAATAGGTACCAGATGCCAAAATTTTGTTTCCCTACTTACTTTATATTAGCTAATATTGTTTTAGTAAATTTCAGCTTAAGCATTCCTTAAATCTCACTTAAATTTTAGCATTTCCTCAAGTTTGAAATATTTATAACAAGAGCAAAATGAAGTGCTCTGTGTAGTAAACATTTATTAGTAATTTATGGTTTTTAAAATCTGCAAATATGCAGAGATGGAATAAATATTAAAAATACATTCTGCAATGGGTTAGTGGAGTTGAATATTAACTAAAAGTCTATCATTGTAAGGTTAGATCTAGTTGTGTTATTAATGGGATCAGAGAAAATGATGTCAATAAATAAAAAGTCTTTAGAGTAACAATATTCCAGACTTTTTATTCTTAAATATATCAGAATTAGTTTACTTGCTGAAGACAGTCAAGTCTATTGATCTAAACCAAATTCTTTTTATTGTCTCTCCTAATTTGGAGGAAAGGGATTTTTTGTTGTTTTTTATTAAAGAAAGTCCTACACATTAGGCAACATAGAAATACAGCAAATGAAAATTCTTATCCAAAGATGTCATCATATACACAGTCATTTAAACATGTTTTTCTAGACTTGGAATCAGGAGAGACTTGGGTTCAAAAACTATCGCTGGACCTTGTACCAATGACCATGAAAAAATACCTTTGACTAATTAGCATACACTTCAGTTTGTTCATCAGTAAGACGGCCATAATTATACCCAGAATATCTAATCTCCAAGAGTTGTAAAGATCAAATATGATTATATATTAAAGAGCTTTACAAATATTAACACATTATAAAACCAGTTATTTTACATTGAATATTCAACATTCATGTCTAAACTCAAGTTGTCATGTAACATATCACCACAGGGCACTTCAGTTATAAATTAAAACTTCTTTAAAAAAGATTTTACTTCTTTATATCATGACTAATGTGAACATATGATTAATAAGAATGTATACGTAGTGCCTATATCAGATTGCATGCTGTCTTGGGGAAAGGGGAGGGGAGGGAGGCAGAGAAAATTTAAAACTCAAAAGCTTATGGAAGTGAATGTTGAAAACTAAAAATAAATAAATTTTGAAAAAATAATTTACTTTATTTGTAAAAGTTACAGAAACAGACTTACTATTTCTTTCTGTTCTCTTGGAAAAGAAGAAAATAAGTGCTGTTCTTATGGTCCATATGCTGTGAGAGAAAAATAATTTAGAAATCAAATTATCTTTGGGATAGATGAACAACATAAATACTAACACAACTGCAGATTTGGGAAAAGAACATAAGCACATATTTTATATTTAGAGATAACCAAGTTCAAAATGACAACATTTGTTTCCCCTATTTTATAATAATCAAAAGGGACACAATGTCAAAAAACCACCTAAGGTCAAACCAGAAGTCTACTATGGGGGCAGCGAGGTGGTGCAGTAGATAGAGCACCGGCCCTGGAGTCAGGAGGACCTGAGTTCAAGTCCGGCCTCAAACATATAACACTTACTAGCTGTGTGACTCTGGGCAAGTCACTTAACCCCAACTGCCTTGCCAAAAAAAAAATCTACCAATGTTAAAGAATCCCTCTAGAAAAACACAACTAAGGCAAAACTGGGACAGTGCAGTATAAAAAAAAATCATACTCCAAATCCTTACTTAGCATTCTTCTAATAGATCTTCTTCTATTCAATGTAGGTTAAGTACCTGTAATTCCATTACTGAAATCTGTATACCACGAAAATGCTAATCCAAAAAAAAAGAGCTTTCTGTACAAAGATTTTCACAGAAGTATTATACATAATTGTAAAAAACTGCAAACAACCTAAATGTGCAACAGTATAGGAATTGCAAAATAAAGCATAGTATATTAATGGAATGGAATACTATAATGCCATCAAGACAAGTATGAGGACTATAAAGAAATATGGATAGAATTTAAGGAAATAATACAAAGTGAAAAAAACAGAACCAGAAGAATGGAATATACACTATGACCACATAAGTAGAAAAGTGAATAAAAATGAACAAAAAGAGACTTCCAGGTCACATGAGCAACAAGATGGCAAACTAAGTATTTCTTCCAATCCCCACAATTCTCAAAGCTCTCCAAAACAGAAATTATGCACCAAAAATAAAGCAACCTCAGGTGTCTCCATGGTCTAGGACACTCAGAATCCAAAAGCTGGTTTAAAAAAACAAATAAACATGAAATGACACTCACTGACTCAGCTCACTCAATATCCCCTCCCACTTCCCCACCTCCTACTGCCAGCCAGGCTGTACTAGCAGACCAAAGGATACCTGCTGAGACTTCCAACAAAACCCAAAACGACCTCATGCCCTGGCCACCTTCTCCCTCTTTCCAGTGCCATGGAGACTCCAACTCCAGACTGAGGAAGTATGCTCAGTCAGTGATGGATAGCTAGTAGACATTTAGGGGCAAAAGCCTACTGGGGGTCACAACCCCATAGCACCAACTCAGCAAGGCTGTGAACTGCCCAAAGAGAGTGGGACAGGAGAGAGAGAGAGAGACAGAGAGAGACAGAGAGAGTGAGTTGGGGTCAGGGGAGGAGTGGGAACTGTACAGCACTCTCCTAATGCTGAGGCAAAGAGCACAATACCCAGCTGGGACCAATTCTGACAACCCAAAAATTACTTGGAGGTCACTGAACTGTGTGGGAGGAGGCTGAGATGCTTGAGACCCAGTCTCCAAAGAAAATCACCATCAGACAGAACAGAATCAGAGAGTGAATACAGAAAATTAGGGGATGGGGGGTGTTAAATTACCAAAAATCTCAGGAAGAAGAAAACTTTAAGACTTTGAACATAAGCAAGTAAATCAACAGGGAAAACAGTAAAAACAGAAGGAAATATGGTCTCTAGATCTGTTCTGAGTGATTCAAAAGAGAAATGAGAATTATGAAAGCAGAATTTATGGCCTGAACAAAAATTATGGGCAGAATTGAAAAACTAGAATCTATAAAGGCAAATCTGTGAAGGCAAAAAAAAAAGAGAGAGAGAACAATATATTGGAAATGCAAATATACAGAAGATAGGGGGAAATCTAGAAGAGAAGCAAAAACCAATTAACATTAAAAAGAAATATGCTGTTTATTCAAGCAAAACAAAACAAAACAAAACAAAAAAGGATAGAGACAACCAAAGGATCACAGGTCTCCCAGAAGAACACAACAGGACAAAAATCCTTAACACTACAATGTTGGAATCAAAAAAGAGAATTGCCCAGAACTTCTGAACGTAGAAAATAAATACCAATTGAAAGAATCCACAAATCATCTCCAGGAAAAAAGAAAAAAAAACAAGGCTACAAACTCCAAGACACATAGTGGTTAAATTTAACAATTTTATTCAGAAATAAGTTCGTCAAGCAATCAAGGAAAAGACTTTCAAATACAAAGGAAAGGAGATTCAAATAATGCAAGACTATTCTGTATCTACCAGAAAACACAGGAGGGAATGGAATAATGTGTTCTGAAGAACAATGGAGCTCAAGATGCAGCACAGTTTGACATACCCTGCAAATCTGATCTTAACCTTACATGAGAAAAGATGGACATTCAATAATAAAGAGATGTTTGAAACATTTTTAGAAAGAAAACCAGAACTGAAAAAAATATTTGCTTCTCCAACAGTTCAAATAATAGAAATGCAGGAGGAATGACTAAATATAGCAACCAAGGACAGCAATAACGACAGGGTGACAGCAGGGAGAAATTTTTTCTAGACGTATACAAGGAGACAGGGGTGACGGCAGAAATCTGGTAGAAGTAACAGTGAAGAAACAGGCCTGGGGAATTATAGACAGAATATGACAACATACCTTGCCTATCGGTGAATCAATGTTGTTGCTTTCTTTTCTTTTCAGGAACTACATTATAACATGGGGGTGAAAGAGACATGAAAGTAGCCGGGAGGAAAAGAGCAAGGGTATCAAGAAGAACATATGATGTACCAGGGTCAAATCTAGGGCTAGCATGTAGAAGACAATGACCTCTGCTATTTCAGAAAGAGGAGAGCCTATAGGAGAGTGGGGGGGAGGACTGAAAAAAGGGGGAAAGGGGGGCAGCTAAGTAGCGCAGTGGATAAAGCACTGGCTCTGGAGTCAGGAGGACCTGAATTCAAACGCAGCCTCAGACACATAACACTCACTAGTTGTAGGACTAAGCAAGTCACTTAAACCCAACTGCCTCACCAAAAAAAAAAAAGAGGGTGAGGAAGGAAGGAGGCATTGCTTTGGTGATGAGAAGAGGTGTGAAGGGAGATGGGGACCTTGTGTGCTGGGTGTGTCCTGCGGGATTTGTTGCTTGAAAAGTCTAGGGAGCAACTGGCACCTGAGGAAATGGGAAAGAATGGACCTAGGGAGGAAATTCTGATACAAACTGGGGTGGGGGGCAGGAAACAGAGATTAACTAAGGGAGAGTATAGTTCAAAGATGGGCTGCATAATTAGGAATGTGGTAAGGGAGAGGTCCTACTACCCAAAAGTATCCTCTCTGACACCTAGAAAAAGCCTAGAATAGATATCTTGGAGTGTTTTTTTTAAATAGTATTTTATTTTTATTTTATAGTTTTATTTTATTTTATTATAGTTTTTTAAATAGTATTTTATTTTTTCCCAATTACATGTAAAGAAAGTTTTCAATATTCACTTTTGTAAGATTGTGAGTTCCAAACTTTTTTCTCCCTCCCTCCCTCCTCTTCCCCCTTCCTTTCCCTTCCCCCTCCCCAAGACAGCAAGCAATCTGATAAAGGTTATACATGTACAACCATATTAAACATATTTCTACATTAGTCATGTTGTGAAAGAAGAATCAGAACAAAAGGGAAAAACCAAGAGAAAGAAAAAACAAACAAAAAAAAAAAGGTGAACACAGTATGCTTTGATCTGCAGTCAGACTCCATAGTTCTTTCTCTGGAAGTGGAGAGTATTTTCTATTATGAGTCTTTTGGAATTGTCTTAGATCACTGCATTGTTGAGAAGTTCATCATTGCACAATGTTGCTGTTACTCTGTACAATGTTCTCTTGGTTCTGCTCACTTCACTTAGCATCATGTCATGTAAGTCTTTCCAGATTTTTCTGAAATCTGCCTGCTCATCATTTCTTATTACACAATAGTATTCCCATTACATTCATATACCACAACTTGTTCAGCCATTCCCCAATAGATGGGCATCCCCTCAATTTCCAAATCTTTGCCACTGCAAAAAGAGCTGCCATAAATATTTTTGTACATGTGGGTTCCTTTCCCTTTGGAGGTTCTGAATGCATAAGGAATACAAAGAAAAGAGAGGGACCAGATAATTACGGAGGTCATTAAGTAAGAAAATGAGGGTCTGGAGTAGACAGAGAGGACATATAATGAAATGAGTGAGAAAATATGGATGAAGAATTTTTATCAGGACTAAAGAGGATAAGATTGAAAAATTTTTCAGATATCTATTGCATACTGAAATTAATTTAAGTAGTTACTATGCAAGTTAAATTGGCTATACTACTATTCAACCTTAAATTTTTAATAAAACATTTCAATTAAAATATAGAAAAGCAGTAGTAAAAATTTCTATCATTAAAAACATTAAGCTATCTGAAAAATAAAATTCCACATAAGATAAAAATGAGTACTTGATAGGTAAATTTGACCAAATATCTCTTTACAAAAAATCCCATGAGCACAACTCCTACTTTTGGAGCCAACTCTGAGACTAATAAGAATTTAATTTTACCATAATCAAGCTCCAGTCTTAAATTTCTAAAAAATGCAACAAAACTCTTTCTTTTGAGAACTTTTAGAATTTATTTGGTAGAAAATCAGCGCATAGGGTTTCCTCACTTTGGAACATCCTGGTGTGCCAGCACCATTCTGCCATTGTTAAGTTCCTCCTGGGACTCCATTTTGGGAAGGAGCCCAGTCCAGTCAAATGTCATTATCCTTCTGGCTCTGCTTCCAATTTTCTGGACTTTAACATTATGCCACTATGTGGGTACCTTCTCTCTCTGCCCCAGCTCTGCTTGAGGGCAGGGACTGTCTTTCTTTTTGCTTTGTGCCTGGTGTGCACAGTCTCTAGCACATAGGAGACCCTAGTAAGGACTTAGTAAATATTTGTTGCCTTGTTAACTACACCTGGAGTCAAGCAGACTTGGGTTAAAACTTTGACACTTACTAGCTCAGTAACCA